AAAGAGTAGCGAAAACTAAGTAAAGATAAATAGAAGGATTGAAGCTCAGATAAGAAGACTCCTCATATCTCCTCCGGTGTGGGGCCCGAAAGATTCCGTTAGCATGTTATCCTTTTTCTTTGGCTTAGACTTCAGTAAAATGTTTTTACAAACGGCTTGACTATGTTCCTTGCGTGCCAACAAGACCGATTCACTTCGGTTAACCTGCTTCAAGCGAGACATTTCCCTATCCAAAATGCATACATCAACATTCAACTGGATGCTGAGGAGGAGAAGGATGAAACATTTAGGAGAATGGGTTCTGTACGATATAATAGTACCAACGGGGTGGAGGACACAGTTAGCTACGTTCGCTTGCCATGTATTCCAGACTCACGAGTTATACACTAATGATGGTTCCTGAAAATAGTTCTAAACAATCCATAGTACACTCCCAAGGCTTTTCGGTGGTAAACATAACATATGGAGGTTGCAAAATGAAACAGTTAGGTTAATATGTTCAACTCCCCGTTAATTGGGTCATTGAAAATGATCGAGTAACAACTGTCTGACCGAATTTTAAATGGTTCAATCTAATCCGATAGCCAGCTTTATCGCTCGCGCAACACTGGCTGTAAAATTTTAAACCAGACAGAAATGTGCTACTTTTATCTCTGGTTTAATGATTATTGTTCACTGTATGCCTAAGAATTTATAGTAGGTGAAGCTGAAAATCATTAGCGATCCACCTTTCTGTTATGTTTCTCACCTGTAGACTATGCATTTCGTATGTAAGTAGCGCAATGCCGCCAGAATGCAACTGCCGTAGTAAATTGCATAACACTCTGGCATCGTCCCCAAACGGGCTATATGGTTCCATAGACAGCCTCCATCTAACCATTCCAGTGCCATGAATAATGTTTCTTCCGTTTCATAGATGTGAAATAGGCTGAAATGGAACAAGCGAGACACCGTATGTATATTATGTCCCACCAGCTTCATTAATCGCATCGTAAGTGAAAGTTGAAATGACCCATGAGATCATTTTCATAATCATGGCAATCAATAAGAATAATCGTATAACTTGTTCAACAAAAAATGATTTTGCGAACTGGGATGTCCACATCCCATTCAATTTCAAAACTTCGATCTGTTTGTGCGTTACGACCCGTAAAGAGAAACCAAAATTATGCTAAAAGTAGTAATGAATATGCGTTGTTGTTCATGTGCATTATGTTCTTCATTAAGGTCTCATAGGAACCTAGACAAGATGAGCAGTAGTGTTAACGATAATAACAATAATGATAATAGTAATAATAGTTACAATAATAATAAGTGAAGGAAATCTCTGCGGATGCCATCCTGGTTTATTGTACCGGTTAGAACACTGTGTAGGTTACTATGTTTCATAAGAACGAAGAACCTCTTTGTTATGTTGCCTACTTGTCCGTTACAGATTTATTGGGATCATTTTTGAAGCGCGCAGAATCCTCACTGATCGAATAAAAAAACTTTTTGACAGATAATGAATTTATATTCAGGAAATTTTTAACCTGGGCATTATTGGGGGACGTATGGAAAGATTCTATAAATAAAATTCTACTACTCCTTCAACCTTCTAACTTCCCTATTTGAAGTTAAAAGTCACTCTTGGAATTTCTGGGATTCAGTGGAAATCTTCCATGGTAATGCTCAGCAGATACATGATGAGTGTTCGGTAGAGTTCAATAACACTGGTTGTGGGCTGAACCCACTCATATAAACACCACGTATCACATGTTTTGACGCGAGTATGGTGATCAGTTTATCGATCCATTTTATCGTTGCTCAATTTCAAACCCGATCGATCGAACTCAACTGTCATCAGGTTCGCTCATTATCATCTATAAAATTCACTCAGTCCGTGTCCAAGGACATAAAGTTCCCCGGGGATGAGCGGTCAAACTTTACTCACCTAAAACCCTCAGTCTTGTTCAGCAACACTCTCAAAAGTTACTAGTGCTTTGGCTAGGGAGAAATCAAGTAATTCCGAATGAACTGGTGTGGTGATATGGTCAGCCCAATATATGACGTATGACGACCGAATCACCAATCACATTGTCGGGTTACCAGTAAGATGCAGTTGGCGGATTCACCTCAAGTTACAACGATTTCTCTCGAAGACGAAACGTTATAGAGCTGTACAACTCCACTGCAACAAAGATACTTCAGACTGTAACTAATCTCAGATTTTTGAGTCACCTGTCTATGGAATTAATGATTGATGCTTTCACCCCCAATGAGCATTCAGCCGCTCACTCATCATTCAATTTTGTGTCGTTTCCGTTTGATTTTTCATTGTACCACGCAATGGAAATTCGATTTCCCTAAAGTTGTACTAATCAGACGGATAAGATTGACAAGTTTGATGTTAAAATAAGTGATAACTAACTTGTCTCACCTTGTGGTTGTATGTAGTTCATTATCATTAGGTTAATAAAAATTGAATTCGGATTTATACAGTAACTAAATGGAAAGAAAAACTAGAAACCATATCTGAACCGAATAAAAGTTTAACCAATTGTGGATTGAACAAGAAAAGATTTCGTGTAATTTGTCAAATTTGTCAAATTAGGATTGAGAGCAAAACATACACTTAATCCCATCTCTTCAAAGATTAATACTCTTAGCCGTAAAACTTTAGGGATAACTAATTATTATCAGTTACTGATTTCTGGTATTCAGTCTAAGTCTTGAAGTCTATTAAACATCCGTTCAACACTGAATTAATAATCACATTTGGAAATGGTCTGGCTCGCTTGATAGTAGTGGTCTCGTTATCGAATAATTCTTCTTTGGTTATGCTAAGTCTTAGTTTGACCGTACGTCAACTTCCTACCTCAGCAAACATCACTCGCCGTGGCAACCTATTTGGTGACATGCGCAACACATGTCCCAACGACCGTAGTCTATGGATATCGACAACTTGCTCCAGCGGACGACCGCGATCACCTAAAACTCTGCGCCTGTTTGTTATTTCTCTCGAGGTAGGCTAAGGGAGAAGCCTAAGGCGATCTAGTTGCATCTTCGTGTACGATCATGAACACTATGACAGTAGCAATCGACGATACAGTCAGCATTGGTCCCCTGATCGGGGACTACCTGACCCAACTAATCAGCGACTGAAGACACCAGTTTATATGGCTAAGTATCGTACCACATTCCAGCCAGCAGAAGGAAGGTCTCCTAGTGAGACATTACAATCTGAGGAAATGCCTTGTTTGAATTTGAACTACAGAAGTATTAGTTACAGCCTTTAATTCATCTTTGCACGTAAGGGTGAAGAGCTTACCTTTGAATTTCGGCGTTAGGGTAAGACTACCCGCTGTCTGTAAGGCTCCTTAATTGCATAATGGATTGTAAAATACACCAAGCACTTAACAGGTATCCAAGTGTCCAGGATTATCCTGTCCCTTTTTTATCTGATTTGAAAGGAACTCACTGTTCGGACTGATTAACTTTGCCAACCTTCGGGATCGCATAAAATTCATCTCGCAAAAGTGATGAATATCGAGATGGTATGTGGCCGGTCACTAAATAATCTGTACATGTCCGTCATCAGGCAGTTGAATCTAAAACGGTTTTATTACAGCTGGACTCGGCGAGTTTTACAAATGATCGGAATCAAGAAAAAGTTCGCCAGAGTAACGTTTCCTTTTCACAAGGCTCTAGGCTCGAAACGAGATAAATCTTTAAACCAAACTCCACACTTGGTTTGGAGATTCCCGTTAACCTTCGGAGGCCCAGTATGTCGGGGATCGTTGTCTCGGTTTATGGTTAGTCACTCTTCACTTGCACTTCGTGAACTGCTCCCATATGACCAAGCGTCTCAAATGGCCTCTACAGGGAAGCCGTACTCTCTGCCTTTCCGTGGAGGGGGTATTTTCCTATCAAGGTGACAGGACGAAAGCCAACATCCGGGGCTATAACTGGGGTGATAAACCATCAGCAGTTCACCTAAGGGAGTTGACTAAAATATCCTGATACCAAACCAACCAAGAAGAGGTGTAGAAATCACACCCCATGGTTTTGGCATTGGTCACCGACTAGATTAGGTATTGAGATTAAATGTGCACTGGGCCTTTTACCCCATCCACAGGACTTACGATTCTACGAACTGGATATGCACACACACACACACACACCTCCCATCCAATAGACTGCCGTTTTCACACACCGCCTTGCTCGTCACACTGCAACCTTGCGACATGGGTAACCGAGCAGTATTCCTCCCACTAGCAAATCATGGATTGATTTCTTTGTGATAAAGATAATTGCACCGGGATGTATCTGGCTTACAGTCTTAGACGCATGTGAAAGTTAATAAACACCACAATTTTCGAGCAGTTAATCATCAAGTAAGGATCCCGTTGTTGCTAGACATGACCGATGCCCGTCGAAAGTATCAGAAACCTTGATATGTTTGATTTCGATAGGATGAATTGTTAAAGCTGATTTCTGTAACGAAATATCCAACGACCCTCTAAGGTAACGCCGTTGTTTATCAAATCGCTGTCGTCCCTTCTGATATGGGTCAGCTGTGGTTTAATTTGTCTGTTCACAAAACTCTTTAAACAATTTCTCATCTCCCTCCCCCACCAATACTGTTCTAGCAGATTGCTACATTAAAAGCATAATGTTTTCGAATGTGATGTCTGTAGTGGTGTTGTAGTAGTGATGTTGCAAGTTTGCAAATCGCATCTCACTTCCAATCACCGTCCCTGTCGCTTCTGCACAACCGTCCTGTCGAACTACAATCCGTAATGAAGCCATGAAGCCGAACCATCCCTCGAACGGAACTAGCTATGTGAATTTAATTAGAGAAAAACAGGTCTAAATAAAGCTCATCGGTTCTTATGCCACATTGTAGACAACAAAAAATGGCAACCTCTGGAAGAGGAAGCAACAACTGACGATATTTATCTAGCTTGCACAAGATAGATTTGGCAGATTAATAGCAACCTGGGAGGACATGCCAAAAAATAACTGATTCTGTCAAATGTACCTTTCTCCTTGGTTGTTTCCATTTTATAGATTCTAATCTTTTTCTTTCAAGATCATTGTGTCATGTTTTGTTTCAAACATAGATTGAATTCAAACTTGCAATAATATATGTGCCATGGTTTCAATCAAATCAGCGATAAATTGTCTTTCCTTTGCCTGAAAGAAATGAAAGATTTTGTGAACTATTTCATCACAGTATGATAAGAATTTATAAAACACCTACCGCACAATAAATTCATGCCTAGCGAACCGCAGTAACTTTGCCTCTCGCCGTTCAATTTCCCATGTGCTATCGGATCGTCCTTCTCTCTGTTTAAATTTTAGCGCATAGAATTGTCCAGTTCCCACGTGGTTGACCCAGGCTACGGTTCCTTGTCCTCCTCTTACCATCCGTGTGGGTCGAGCCAGTTGGAAGTTCGGTAAGTTAGGCACATGCGTTTTAGTAGTGGATGGGCCCGCAGTGACACACTTAGCGTCGGAATTCTCCCCAGTTATTAAGGATTTGGTCTGGCTGGTGAGGTTTTTGTTAAGTTGAGAATGCCACGAGTATAGCACTGGTTTTGACTGGGCAAGAACCATTCGCTTAACCATGATGCAAATACAGGGTTTGTCCACTTTTACATCCGGGTGCCTTCCAGTAGGGCATTGATGCAAATCTCTGGATGCAGGTAGGGCACCTTGTTTGACTGGCTTCTTGTTCTCTGTGGGTGATTTCGATGACCCTCTTTTGGTATTACCTTGCGTTACCGGAGCAGTAACATGTTTCGTTCGAGCAGACGACAAAGAACTCATATCTGCGTGACGCTCCGGACGCACCACTACAAGCACAGAAACACGATTAAAGAAAATAGGTTTGTAACTTGCATTCGATAATAGACGGTCGGACTGTAGCGACCAGAGTTGTGATCCTCGAAAGTGATGAGCAAAACCTTCAGTGATTGACTTGTTAACTGATAGATAGATAGAAATACAAACTGATTGGCTGACTGACTGAGAGATTTTACGTTTAATGTGGTATACGATTGTTTGAAATAAAAATCAACTATACCTTTTGCAATGCAAGGAACACTTCATTTATCACAAAAGTATCATAAAGTTACAGAGCAGAGTTCTTGTAGTCGTCCAATTGTACTCGTGGTCTCAAACTAGTGGAGAAAATCTGAGGTAAATCAATCGACATATCTTATCTTAAGTTGCTCTGATGAATTAAAGACTGTCATAAACGCAAAGCGAGAATATTTTAGCATCGCGGTTTGCTTAGCACTAATCTGCATTCATCAGAAAAGATGTTCTGATATCCTAATACTTACAAAGTAATCGAACACTCATAATTTCTGATCGGTGGTGGCTTCGATAATCACTATTTTAAGAACAACAATAGCGACATTCTCATCGTGAAACCGAATGGAGAAATTGGAGTGTCCCTATAATTTTTACGCACCTTCCATTATTCGGCTAGCATTATTTAACAATAAGATTGTTCCAAGCCAGTTCACAAATAGCCATTTTTGAATGCTATATCTTACCCTAGGCCACCGAGCTTACGTTGTTTAGTGGAAGAGTGACTTCATAGGAATATATGATTTCAGTGGTAAAGATCAGCGACTTCAAAGTTCATACTCAGAAAAGTTCATTTTGAAAAATATTCCAATTTTTGGTCTTATTTATTATTATTTTTCATAAAATTCCTTAACTATCAGAAACTTTATGATTTATTTCGATAGCTCTCGTTACGTTATTTTAAGCGCAGTTATTTTGATAGATATATCTTATCCATCCGGGGATATATGATCATGATGGTCATTTTGATTGTTCACTGCCTAAATGGTGGAATTTTTGTTGGTGCTTCTGTGGCGATAACACAGAGATGGGATACAATCTGCAAATGTCGAAGAAACTGAATGAGAATCTAGTGAATGTGTATGTCGATTGAGCATGCAGCCGCTTGAGCTGAAAACTGTCACAGCATCATGCGGTGGGCGTACGTAATGGCTCGGGTGTTGATCTTGCATGATGTATGGGTGTTACCGGTGCATGACCCGATATAACTTTTCAGGAGGGGGCGGAACACGCACAGACGAGTACGCTTACTAGCAAGGTAAACAATAAACATATGACATGGGAATAGGAGGAGATGTGACCGAGTCACATCTCACAATCCTCATCCCGCCCTTCAACAGGAGGTTAAGAAATCTGTGAAGTATGGTGTGTATATATACATCGCTAAGAAGCTTGAACAGTACATAGGCCTGTCAGAGTCGATGAGGTCAACGAGACAACTTGAAATGGTACTTGGATAACATGAAGGGATAACCAGAAATCTTAGAATGATAGCTTGACATTTGAAGATGATATCTGGACAACTTGAACCGGAAAAGGTATGGTTTGTTGTCTCTTCGAATGTGATTGAAACTAGCCCAAAGGAACTGATTATAATTATTGCCGTTCAGTATACTCATTCATCTACTCGCCAGTAATATGGCAGAGAGTAGAGCTCTTGAATTTTTATTGGTCACTCTTTCTCTCCGCATCATAAAATGCTCCTTTACTATCGAGCATCTCAAGTAAATCAACACATTCAAGCGGCAGTGTTTTGTCTCACCAAAATGAGAGGACAAAAATCTAACATCCGGACGTTTTACCCCGTACAACGGACTATCATTTGATTGAGCGGGCACCGGCAACCAAAGGACCAGTTTTACCAGCACACACACCACTACCTTGCTGATCAGGCCTTGGCAAGCCTGGGTAATCGAGCAACATTCCACCCACTAGGAAATCATGGACTGATGTCCTCGTGAAAAAGATGATTGTTTCAAGATTTGATTGACACATAGTCTCGACTCAGACGAATGTGGGGTATAATAATAATAATAATAATAATAATAATAATAATAATAATAATGCTTGAAACTCACATGTTATCAATTCTGCATGTTTGTGTGGCGAAAACGTACAATTGTTTAATGAAGATGATTAAGCATCATAGTTAGTCGTCCCTCAGTCGATGCCATCCGATGATTGCTGGTTAGCCAACTCTAATTTTAATCCGTAGCACTTGAGGAACACAACGTAACTCATTTGTTCATGTATCCATCACTTTATGATAAGTTTTTTCTTTAGCATTGTGTTCTGAATCAAGGTATGCTAAGCTAGTCAACGAAGCTTCAAGGTTCAAAACCCAAGACTGGTCGATGAATATGCATTACTGAGAAACTCTAATAACCACAAAACTGGAATCCGGTACTTTTGGAGTGTACATTTGGTTGAATGTATGAGGGTGATATAGAGGGACGTAAAACAATGAACGACAGTCGGTGAAAAGCAAAAGGCAACACTAGTCCCACTCACCCGTACACATATGCATACATATATGTTGGTAATTAACAGGTTGGCTCTACTTAACCAATACAAATTAAAACTAAAAAATTGCGATTTTTTAATTAGGGATGTATCCAGCCGGAGTCAAACTATATT